TGTTTCAATACATACTTGCTCTCCTATAAAACCCTAAACCCTAAACCCTAAACCCTAAACCCTGAAATTTTTCCCTCTTTGCTAATATATTCTTGCTCTCCTCTAAACCCTTAAAACTATTTGTTGTCTCTCTTTGTTCTCTAAGCCCTAAACCCTAAACTTCATTTTCTCTCTTCTCTAAACCCTAAACCCTAAACCCTAAACCCTAAACTGAAGAAGACAAGCGTCTTAACTGTCCGAATTTGAGCCGGTAAAAAGAACCGCTCAGAGCCCCCAAACCCTAAACCCTAAACCCTAAACCCTAAACCCTCAAGGTACATATTCGAGGTTTAGGGTTTAGGAGGAGTCTCCGCTTTTTTTTTTTTGTGTTTCACTACAAACCCTTTTTTAGGGTTTGCAGGTACCGCAGACTGCTAATTAGGGTTTATTATTTCTTCTTTGTCCCTAACAAACGAGATAAAGTACGCCGTGTCTTGCTGTTGTTGTTTATGCTGCTGCTGCTGCTGCTGCTGCTGCTGCTGCTGAAGTCACCAGCAGGTGCTCCCACCCCGGGCTGCTGCGGTGGAAAGCTGTTCCCCATACTGCTGCTGCTGCTGCTGCTGCTGCTGCTGTTGCTGCTGCTGCTGCTGCTGCTGCTGCTGCTGGGTAATGAAGCACCAGCCTGGAGCACTGCTTCTCTGTCTATACAGCAGGGGGGGGCCTCGGGAGAATCCTCTGCAGCAAGCCAAACCCTAAACCCTAAACCCTCACTAAACCCTAACCCCAAAACTTTCGCCCTACAATATCGCAAACCCTCATCAAACCCTAAACCCTAAACCCTAATTCTAGCCTCTAAACCCTCATTGGAGTCTTCGCTCTCCCCCTCCCTAAACACTAAACCCCAAACCCAAAAAACCTAAAACCCCTCACCCCTCACCCCAATCCCTCCCCCCTAGACCCTAGACCCTAGACCCTAGACCCTAAACCCTAAACCCTCACGTTCGAGTTTGACGTGCAGCAGACACCTGGGCACCAAACCCTCTTCATAAAGACTCTTCTTAGCAGACAGCCGACGGAGGGGCGGCGTCTCACAT